TTTCCCTTTTTATTCACTCTGTGACTCTACTGGATATATCTCTTATTCAAAACATACTAGATATTTGATAGCCAAGGTATTAAATATAATAACTATATCAGCCCTCCTCACTACTTTATGACCCTTGTAACTATCCTATTAACCTGTATGGTGTTGTGATTCTTTCTTCAGGAGCATATTTTGTGTTTGAGAGTTTAAAATAGATGGTCTGTTTCAGTTTCATTCCCTCCAACATTTGACAAAGAGAAGACATGATTTATATTTACACTTCAGTATATTACTAGGTTTCCCCCATTGAATAGTTTCATGTAGAGAAAAGTAGCTCGCTGATTAGAGCTGGTATTTCTCAGTTTATAGGAACTAAGGTTTACCTGGTGTCTGGGATCTGGAAAGTGATTTCAGGTGAGGATTTAAGGACTGAGAATAAATCCTTTGAATGGGAGTGTCCCTGTGTAAATCCTCAGGAGAGCTTGTGGGACTCAGGTTTGTATTTTAAGCACACAGGCACATTCTAAAAGTGTAGAGCCCATAGGTAGGCACTTAAAGTAAATTATCATGGTGGTTTGTGTCCTGGAGCAGAGGCTAACAGCGTTCTGACATTTCTGCCTGATGTACTTACTGCAGCCTTTTTATTTACTGTATGTGACTAGAATTTCTGGGGTATTTTGGTACATTTAATGTGTAACTCACACTAACAGTACAAGTGTAAATGAGAATTTTTACAGAGGAAGAAGGAACATAGTTTTTAGTTATACAGTAAAGATTGGCCATAAATGATACTAATTGTATTGCATGTTCCAGGAGATATGTTTATATTAACTTACTGTTGGTTTCCACCCGATCAGATCACTTCTATAAAAAGCTTTCCTTTAATAATTTAATATCTTCCCAAAGTATTTTAACTGTAGTAAAATATACATAACATAAAATTTGCCACTTTAATCATCTTAAGTGTACAGTTTAGTTGTATTAAATGCATTTATAATTTTGTGTGACAATCACCAGCCTGCATTTCCCTAACTCCTTAATTTATCTTTCAAAACTGAAGCATGAAACAGTGACTTTATTCCCCTTATCTCCCCATTCTACTTTGTTTTTATGATCATGGAAAAGAAATCCTTTATCAATGGAATTTGTCCTTTTTTGTGAACTGGTTTATTCCACGTGGAATACCTTCAAGGTTCATGTCACAGAATGTCAGAAGATTCTTCCTTTAAAGATGAGTAATATTCCATTGTATGTTTATAAAACATTTGCCTCTTTCTCCATTGATGGGTACTTGGGTTGTTTCTACCTTTTCAATATTGGGAATAATGTTGCTATGAACATGGATGTGCAAATATGAGTACTTTCAGTTCTTTGTGTGTTTTTACATGTAGAGTGTCTATATTCTATTTTCTTTAGCATTTTTGGAGGAATCACTGTACTCATTTCCATAGCAGCTATAGCATTTTACATCTTCACCTTCTAGTTCATTAGCTTCTTGAGTATTTACATTAATGTGATTCACAAAATCTGGGAATTTATAATATTCTCACCGCCCCCTTTTTGCTTATCTTTTAGCAGTTGATGCCTTTGGCAAATGGTCTTTATGTTTCTATTTGCTTCAGTAAACTGCCAGTAATTCTAGTAATCCATCCTGTCCCAGCTTTCATCCATGTAAGGATTAGGGTTTCTTCTATTTCTTCTTGTGTTCCTTTTATTATACATTACATTTTTTTTGCATACTGCTTACTTTTTCTACTAAATCTCTTTGAATTTTATAGCTTTTAAAATTTGTGGAGTATTTTAGTAATGGAAATTAAACCCAGAGTCTTGTACATGCTCAGCAAGTTCTTTATTGCTTCAGCTCGGATCTTTCTTTCTTTCTTTCTTTCTTTCTTTCTTTCTTTCTTTCTTTCTCTCTTAAGTTTTTGATTCTGTCACTTCAGTGTCCCCATTTGTGTGATCATGGTCTCCACACTGCACACTTGTTCTTTCACGTTTAGTTTGCCATGTTCTTTGCTGAAAGCCAGTCATAGTGTATTGAGGAAAGAACTTTTGTAGCTGTCCTCTTTAATGTGTTGCTAAGGTCTGAGGAGAGAGTGTTCTGGCTTCTGGGAGTGGAGCTACCCTTTGCTGAGCCCATGTGAACTCTCCCAGTGTTTCTAGGCCCTATGTCTCTAGGACAGGATAGCTCGATAGCTGAGTATCTCCTTTCTCCCATGGACAAGAAAGGTGGTACTGAAGTTGAGTATTTCACCTGCTCCTGGTAGAAGCCTGGAATGGGCTACAATTGGGACTTTCCTTTTATCATGTCAATTAGGCTTTTTAAAAAAGAATCTGGAAGATAGAACCCATGTAAAAACAAATTTTCCAAGAAAAGGCCTCGTTGCAAAGAATATAATGTGCTGGCATACTTCCAAATGCTTCCTTGCCTCTAGGCAACACTCCTGTGTTGACAGTGAGGATCCTGAGGTACCTATCAAGACTCCCCCCACCCCTGCCCGCAGCTCCCATAGAGGCCTCTGCTTATGTATTTCTGCTCTGTTGTGGTCCTTTGTCCTGTGAGATCACCTTCCTGAGGTATACTAGAAGGGTTGCTCATCTCCAGTTTTTATGCTAGACCAAATTCCTCTAAGCCTCTTATACATTGGCAGACTATAAGCCCTAAAGCAAACTTTAAGGCTGTGTCTTAAATGATGTTAAATCTCTGCCATTGGTAGCATAAATGGCACCTTTTGAGTATGTAGAAGACTTAGTTTCTGGATCTTCTAATTTGTTTTCTTAGTTTTTAAATCTCAGTTACCTATTTTTCTTTATACCCGTTTGCTTTAGTTTGAATGCCAAATGCTGTAAAATGTAGAAATAATTACTTGAATTATCTTAATTCAGGCTGGATTTGAGCTGTTTCCAAATTGGCTATATTTTAGTTTATCCTTTACTTTTAGATTTTGTCTTAGTTACTTTTCTATTTCTGTGAAGAGATACCATGACCAAGGCAACTTATAAAACAGAGCATTTAATTGGCGGTTTACTTATTACAGTCTTAGAGAGGGAGTCCATAGCTATCAAGGAAGGGAACATGATGACAGGCAGGCAGACAGGCAGGCACTGGAACAGGAACTGAGAGCTCACATGTTAAGATAACAATCAAGAGGCAGAGAGAGCTAACTGTAATGGCATGGGCTTTTGATATCCCACCCTCGGTCATACACCTGTTCCAATAAGGCCACACCTCCTAATCCTCACACATGTAAACCTTGGGGCATAGGGGGAGGCATTCTTATTCAAACCCACTACAGGTTTAATCTTCTATGAATCAATCATCAGTCAGGTTATCAGGTCATTGACTTGAGCCCCATCCCCCACTTCCTAACTAAGGCCACGCTTTTCCATGGGAATGTAGTTGAGTATTTTACTTTCCCAATTTGACTATTCTAATGTTCATGTCGAGTCTATCAAAAGTCACTGTTAATTCCTTGCCTCTTAGCTGCCTGTCCGATTTTTTTCAGATACAAAAACCAAAACAAAACAAAACAGAAAACCAAAACGAAAACAGCTCCCAAGGCCAGGCTCATCTCTCTGGATTTCCTTTTTTTATATCAAGTTTCTGTTTTATACAGTTTTGGTGCTTAGGTGTTAGCATTTATTATTTTTTTTTTAGTTTCTACCTTTTCCAGTTGATGTTAGAAGGAGCCTTGTTCTTGGATTATTTCTTGCTCTGCTGTATTTTGAGCCTTTGTATATTCTGTTCCTCTATGAAACTCTATACTTGTTACTTTGCAATTCCTGGTTTACATTACTTAACCCTTGCTGTATATGGGTGCTAAGGACCACTTAGAGCTTTCACTGCCCTCCTGACTGGCTTAGGTACTTTTATTGCAGTATCTAATGACACTCTGCAAGTCTTTCATTGTACTTGTGGATTATAATTGCATATTCATGTAGGTATTTTTATTACAGTATCTCATGACACTCTCCAAGGCTTTCATTGTACTTGTGGATTATAATTATATATTCATTGATGATTTTTATTTCACTTAATATTTATCCCCTTTGTGGAATTTAAGGCTCTTAGGAAAAATCCACTTCTTACTTGTTATGAGAGCACATCTGCAGTCTCAGTGCTCAAGGGACTAAGGCAGAAAGGTGATGTGTTCTAGGCCAACCCAGGGTACACAGTGAAGCCCTGCCTCAAGTAGATGGAGTAAAAAACCATGAAGGTATAAAAAGAATCATATTTACATTTCTCATCATAGCTACCCACTATGACTTAAGTGGAGAATTTAGGATTTTTTTCATTGGTGGAATATATGTATGGAGAGTAGAATGGGATCCCATGGAGAATAGCAGAAGTTCAAGGACAAAACAGTTAGCCTTTTCAATGGGTTCTCAGAGGAGAGAGATCATTCATTTATTTTCTTCTTACTTTTGTAAATTTATCAAAAATGTCTTAGAAGGTATTTTATAATATATATAACTTGCTATCACTCAAGATTAAGAAATAGATATATTCATAAACTATGTATAGTCTACTAAGAGATAAACAAGCACATTGTCTATTCAGTAATTATTTTGGATTTAAAAATTTTGATACTTATTGTGTGTGTAGGAGCACTTGTTCTTGTATTATGGCATATGTGGATATTGAGGGCAGTTCCATTATGTGGGTTCCAGGGATCGAACTTAGGTTCTCTGGCATGGCAGTAAATGTCCATACACACTGATCCATCTTGTAGGATATATCTTGGTAAACAAAGAAGAAAGATATAAGAAAAGGGGGAATATTTATTTTCTAATTGGAGCCCCAAATTATGATGTAAAGGAGAATATAACATTTGTTCATATATGAAATACATGGATGGAAGGTTGAATGAGACTTCCATTTATGGAAAACAGCAGAAGTTAAAGGAATGAAGGGAGAAATTATGCCTTTGTAATGAGCTACCATAAGTAGATTAGAGTAACTCATTATCATTGACTTTTTCACTTATGGAGATTTTCCTTTCAACTTTCAGATGATACAGCAGTGTTCGAGTTGATACAGCTAGTTCCACCAGGTATTGTACTACTTAATGATAAGGCAACTCATTTCAATGAAATATTTCTAAATATCTCTTCTCCCATCTCCCTGCCAAATAATAGCAATGGTTATGTTTTAGGCCATCGATTTGTTATGCATATGCCAATACAACAAACACAGAAAAATTGACATGAATGCAAATTGAATGCCTCATTCTGAAATTAAATGTTAAAATAATTGAAAGTGGAAGATAACACCTTTATATTTTTGACAGTAATATAAATTGAATTTTAATTTTTGACATTAAAAATAAAATTGTTTATATTTGTTAACTAAACAGATTTTTTTATTTTTAAGTTTAGATTTAGACTAGAAACAAGGTTGCTTCACAAGTCAGTTCCAGGTCCCTCTCCATTTCCCTCCCCTCCTCCAGTTTCCTCCCCCCATTCCCCCCATTATCACCTCATTTCCCCAGGGAGGGTGAGGCCCTCCATGTGGGTGTCCATAGTCTGTCATTTCATCCAGGGCAGGGCCTAGACCCTCCCCCAAGAGTTCAGGGTGAGAGTGCATCTCACATTGTTGGATGGGAGTCCAAAGTCCATGTGTATACTCGGGATGAATACTGATCTACTACCCAAGGCTCAATAGATTACCTAGGCCTCCTCACTGACACCCACATTCAGGGGGTCTTGATCAGTCCCATGCTGGATTCCCAGGCATCAGTCTGTGATTCAAGAGCCAAACCTTGTCAGGTCAGCTGTTTCTGGGGGTTAAACCAGCCCAGTCTTAATCCCTTTGGTCATCAGCCCTCCCTCTCTGTTACTGGCTTTCTTGAGTTCAGCTCAGTGCTTAGCCGTGGGAGTCTGCCTCTTCTTCCATCAGCCACTGAATGAAGTTTCTGTTTCCCAGACTCTCTGGCCATGGGATTGTAGGCTGGCACTCCCCAGATCTATGTCTAAAATCCATATATGAGAGAGTACATGCCATGTTTCTCTTTTTGTGACTGGGTTACCTCGCTCAGGATGGTTTCTTCTAGTGTCATCCATTTTTGTGTGTTTGTTGACTGTTATTGGGAATGAAGAGGGTGGTAGCCTTCCTTACTTGTAAGGTAAACATGGGTTTCTGAGGAAAGAGGTTACCTCTTAAAATGTAGAGACTAGTTTTAGTGTTGATATTGATTTCTAGGACTATCAAAGAAATCTTGGTTAAATATTTTATACAATATATACCTGTATTTTATTAAATACAAGTAATCTCAAAATTTTCAGTATTACATACATACTTAATTCACTAGCCACATTTATAATGTTCAATCTTACTCCACATGAGAGCAGACAGAAAAGATAGAAGACAGGAAGTTTCTAGAGATGGTAATAATAAGCTTTGGATCTATAAACTTAATGCAACTTCATATTTTTAACGAACTCCCATTTCTAAGAGTTCATAGGTTCTCACTGAGTGTAAGTGTACCCCTCTTCCCCAAGGTGTGAGGTAGAGAATTAGTAATATATACAGTATTTCTATAATTGAAAAAAGTGTTAATTTGTTGTATCCTTATTTTAATTTTCCTTTTATAGAAGATAAGCATTGTCTTCAAGCAGGTATACAATAAGGCATCAGGCAAAATATATATATTATACTTGATAATTTTGTTTCTAAATAGAATGTTTTGTTATAATTTGAATCATAGGATATCTTTCTTATAGTTGGAGAAACACTGTCTACCTATGATGAAAATACACGAGATTTCATGTTCCCGGGTCCAAACCAAATTTCTGGACACCATGATTCAAACCGCCAGGTTACCATGAGGAGGATTTCTGGACTAAGAGTAAGTGATTGCATGATGCAGGATAATGGGTAAGAAGTAACATGCAGGTTTCAGTACCTTGAATGTGTAAAACCAACTTTAAATTTAATTGGTTTTCAGACTTCTTTTGTGTAATTGTGTTATTTTAAGTATCCTGAATGCAATGAAAACTAGCAAAAATTAAGGCATTTATCATAAAAACTAACACACATATTGGCTGATATTCTTCACAACTTGCAATTTGTTTCTCATCTGCAATACCCATCCTCATTCCTCCATGTCTATCTGTCACTTTTTCTGTTTCTTTCTGGGGAAAGTTCAGCAAACACTAGAGCAATAACCAGTCTCAACATTTAGGGAAACCCCAATTTAAAACATGACTTTTTTAGACATATATGATTTATTAGAAAATATTAATACATATTAAATATTTATAAATTGAGAAATCTTGTAAGCTTCTGTGTCATAAGCTGGAATAATCAAAATTCAAAATTATTTAATAGAGACCAAGTTTTTTTTAGCATATTATCTTCTAGGTGTGTGTCTTCAACGTATTCTCACTGGAATACCATGCGCCGTTTTATTTTGCTCATATCCTTGGTGCTAGAGATGGGATCTTGGGTCTTTTTCGTGTTATTCATCAGTTTACCACTGAGCTACACCACAGGTTAAGATGTTTCCTTATAGTGCCGTTAGCAGTGGTAAAAAACAGAAATGACTGAAACTTCCAGCTCGGATAAAACCTGAATGGATAGATTATAAAGTATCCATAGACTGTACATCTAAGTGTAAACACTACATTAACAGGGCCTTTTTTTCTGAGTGGCAATAATTGTGTCACTAATAAACATCGTTAGATCTGATGCTGTCTCCACACAAATCTCTCCCATCTTTTCCTGCAACTCTTCTGATTTGAAAATATCTTTATTCCTGAAAAGCAGCCTGCTTCTCAGAAGAACTTGGAGATGGTCACTTTGTTTCAAAAGCAGAAAAGCCAAAGTTGTTTAGCTTGAAATTATTTGAGCAAACAATTTTTAAGCTAATTTTATGGAATCCTAATATAAGCAAATAAAGTGGTTGTCATATAAATTAATACAGTGAATTAAATCAATTTTCCCCTGTGTCTAGGTTTATGATAAGCTGTGTCCAAAGAAATAGCAAGTTCAATTTATTGAAAGGGTAAAAGTTGACTCTGTAACAAATGAAAACCTTTCTTCTCTGGAATATTTTTATGTTGTTAGTTAGCTTTTATACTATAACTGTCTTCAAAGAGTATTTTAAGAGTCATGTGGAAGCTCATAAAGAAAAATATATTTAGTTTATGGTCTCTTTAAGGTAATTTAACTTGCTTTGTCATATGAAGACAGCAATAGACTGTTCACAGGAATTTTCTTTCATCACTTGAGTTTCTTTTGCATATATTTGGAAGTTTGACTATTGAGATAGAGATATATAAAAATAAGGACTTCCAATAACAGCCATATGAAGAGTTGACAGATCTTCTCTTTATATTAAGCATGTGTGAAACTGGACAAAGTTATCAGAGTCAACACTGGTCAGTGAATACCTACTATCAAGTGCAGCAAGTAGATGACATTTTTATACTTGAAAATCTGCTCCAGTTTTAGGTAATATAGCAGGAATTTGGGGCTCCTTTGCCTGGGATACCCCATGTCCTATGTCTCACTGACAGCTGTATCTTTACCAGCTGTTACTGGACACAAAGAGCAGTAGCTTTGGTTCCAAGAGGTTGAGAAGTGGGGTGAATGGTTTGGTTCTGCTAGCTAAACATAGTGGATCCTGTTAGTAGCAGATGGACAAACCTTACAGCTATGCAAGGCCCACACAATCTGACTCAGGTCAATGGCACACTTTCTACGACATTGGCGGGGGATCCAGAAACAAAGGGACAAGAAGAAGATTGAGAGAAGCTCTCTCTTGTCTCAGTTTGAAAGGCATTCACAGGGGTGACAGTGAGAGATGAAAAGAAGCGCAGGGAAACTAGTTGTAGCTATTAATTTTTTCTCACCTATCACTGAAAATCAGTGGAGGGGCAAGCCAGTATGGCTTCTGTGAAGAACTGAAAAATAGAGAAGATATGGAACAGAATGTAAACTGGACATCAAAACTGGGGTATATGTACAGCCATATCAATAATTGTATATATATATATATAAGTAAAAGTAAATGCTCTAGTCAGTAGTTTGTAGTCCTGGCAAGCAACAATGACTTGTCTTCAGAATTCTTGTGATTCTGGGCTACCTTCTGTGAGTCCCACTACTGTTGACGAGGATTCAAACCATTATCTGGAATTAAATTGTGTCACTTTTATGGATTTGCTTAGTAAGCTTGGACAAAGCACAGTGACCTGTAGCTATAGGGTCCATGGGTGGATCAATTTAACATTGAGTTGACCATACTTTTTAACTGTGGTTGCCTTGGTGGTGGTGCTGGGTATTTTCTCTGTAGACTTTGAGCTCCACAACATTTTCATCCTTGAACTGTAGTCGTTCTCAGTATCTTATGAAGTAGTATTTAATAGATGCCTCTTGATTAGACTCAGTTAATTAATTACTTCATGCCATAGGCTCAATGGAGAAACTTACTTTTGAGATGGTGTGATTTGGTCAATTTGGCTGGACTCTACAGCCCATGCAGTAATCTAGATGTTACTGTAAAGCAGTTTGATGATGTGCTGAGTATTTATAAACAACTAATTTAAATACTTGACAGTGCAAGTGACCTTTATCTCATCAAGCAGGAGATTGCAACACCAAACACTGAGGTTTTCTAAGGAAAGAAGACTTATTTCTCATGGAAGCAACAGAAGTCCTACCTATTTCTAACATTCCAGCCTACCCATTGGCTTTCATGTCCAAAATAGTGTGTCAATAGTTCCCACCTATTTAAGGTGCCCTTTGCATTTCTTAATTGTCATTAATTGGATTAATTCCCTAAGACAAATCTCTCTATGTATATGAATAATCCTTTTACACACTAGACTTTAAAAGGCTTGTAAAAAATACTGTCAGGACTATTGTGAACTCAAGTGTGATGAGCAATACTTAGGGAAGTTTAGAGTGGAAAGTCATAGGCCAGGTGGTGATAGTAGACAGTCTTGTACTTCTTAACATTTTGATTAGAGTATGGCTATAGCATATATTTAGTTATATAACAGGGTTCTGGAAGAATACATGATGATGGATTGTGTAATGACACATTTTCAGTTCAAATCTTCATCATTAAGTGATACATGACTGTGTTTCCAGAAATTCTTTGATACTCCTCTCTGTCTGGACTTTGGAATTGTTAGGCACCAGTGATATTTATTGCCATTTTGTCCCCATTTGAATGAGAATGTGTGCATAGACTGCACTGTACTTGCTGAACATGTGTACAGTGGGTGTTGTCATGTAGATAACTTGTCTCCTTAGTTCTTCTAAATCTTGGCTGTGAAGAAGTATATTCTAGAAGCTATACTGAGCAACCAAAGAACTTTACCTATATGAGGATTCTTAAATGCCAACCCTGATTTTAAACTGAGTTTGTAAAGTTGTAAAAGGTCAAGACTTCTTGCTTCCTTTTTTCTTTTGGGAGCATTAATGTATTTTGCACATAAGAGGAATGCAATTCATAGTTACAAGGGAAACTGCACATACATATTTAATACTCTTCCATTGAAAAAGAGCCAAGTTCTGAGTCTTTGAATATGGACCACACTTAACAAGTTCTAGAGAAATATATTGTGTATAGTAGATATCTAGCAAGTGGGTATAGTAGATATCATTGATGTTGATTTTTGGGCAGCTCAGATTTACCCTCTGTAATGGATATGTTTTAAATTCTAAACTTAGTTGGTCACCGACAGAGTTTGCAGAGATGCCCAGTGTCTGACTTTTATTGCTTTGGGGAGAAGCTATTCAAGGGATAGCCAACATGGTTTACAGTTGGGTATATATAACATGGACTTCCAGATATTTCCTTGGGTGTTTTGTAACTGTCCCCCTAACCTGTCTCCTTTTCTCCACTTATCTCAAAACTGTTCAAGTTGATTATTGAAATGTTAGTGGAAATAGAATCCAGATAAATATTTACACATGAATATAAAGTATAAGAAAAAGGCTATAGGAAATTTCAGAGACCTCCTCTGTCTGAAGATTGCATGACTGGGAGTAATGATATTTTCAGAATGAAGCATCCAAACTATTCCATTAAAAAATTAATAGCGTGGAGGGGTATAAGATGAACTAGAGGAAGTAAATGGAATAGGAAATAGAATTCTGTTTTAATTAAAATATATTAAAATACAATAAGTTAAAATTTTAATGGACAGCTAAATATATATTTATAATAGACAAGGTGTTTTGTTGTATGTAGAAATTTTGTAATAGCTAAAAAGAGCTAATAATTATTTCTTGATTATATAGTTAAATTGTAAATGTAAAGACAGTTGAAATCAATTAAATGCATTCACATGTTTATGACTAATATGTCATAATTTAAAATCTTAAACACTTTGACAAAGAGACACTTGAAAATGAAAACAATTTTAAATTATTCCATTAAAGTAATATAATAGTTTCAAACCAAATTACTAGCAATGAAACTGCTAATTAGTAGCATTTATCATTACTATGTTTTTTTATAATAATAAAAGATCAAACTAGCAAATGAAGTGCTGAGGCTGTGTCTTGAAAAGTAGTAATTTTAGATCCTATTCTAGCCACTATCTTTTTACTACGTAATAATACCATTTTTCAATCTTGCAGGGAATTGCTCCAAAACTGGAATTTTCTACAACTTCAGTGATCACGGAATGTCTGATAAGTTCAAGGAAGTGCCGCACTCAGGTTAAAATGATTAAAGTATTTAATGTTCATATGGTACATGTGGGTGCATGTGTGGTGGGTATTATCCTTGTTTTGGCGGCATTTCTTCTCACCATCCCTGTCAGTCTTTGTCTAAAGTACTCAGCAATTTGATTGCATCATAGTAAACAGGAGAAAGCCAACTTTGGCCCCATGGCAGAGGGCATCACGATATGTTTTCTTGGCTATTTACTTATTTTATATCACGAAAATTTAAATACAAGCAATAGTGAAACTGCCAGGAAGAGGTTGAGATCAGGAATTGCCAAAGAAAACTCAGCTGAGGACTTCCACATATTTTACAGACATTACAGTAAACTTCAGAGAGGTCAAGGGCACCTTTAAGCAAATGCGGTCGAGTTCTCACACTGGGTACTTCATGTTTATTGAGTGAGACTTCTTGGATGTGTCTAGTTCCTAGAGAATGTTGCTCAGTGCAGTGACCACACTGTTCTGTTAGCCCAAAGAAAGCTTGGACTTTCCAACTTTAATAACTCATGTTTGTGAAGGTTTCCTTTAATAAGCACAGTTGTTCCTCAGATTCTAATTCTTACTGGGCCAAAGGGCAGTCTTCTGGTGCAAGCGACCTTGCCCATAGTTATCTCATCAGTGCTGGCATCACCCATGTGCAGCTCCATGACTGGCATGTTCTGATGAAGGGCTGGTAACATACAAAACCCAGAGGACTCCATAGGAGCAGGGCTGAGCCAGTAGTGGAAAGAGTAGACTAGTAATTTGCTGTATTACATTTTTAAAGCTAATTTTTTTTGAAGACAATAGCTGTGACCTAAGCTAAGAAAGGTGCAATGAGGTCCCAGAGTATTGGAGATAGTATTATTTAGTTAGCAAGATATTTAGGGTTCCAAAGTCAGTCTTTAGCTATTTACCAGTTAGACACAGATGTTAGAAGTCTAACCAGCTGTGCTTAACATGTGCGGGAAAACTTACTGACTGGTTTCTCAGTTACTCAGTGTGTGCATTTGTAAATTGTTAAACATGCTTTGCCCAGCGTTCAATTTGTCTCTCTGAAGAATTCTTAATGAATGGATAGAAAAATCCTTTTTTATTTTTTAATTCACATAGAAAAGTCTAAGCATGTCAAGTGTATATCTCAATGCAAAAGCCCTTGTACATGTAAAGCCCTCCTCTCTGTTAATATCATTGCTCCTTACACACACAGTGTCTAACGGTTTCTGAGAAACACTGTTCTTTTTCTTCCACTTGTTTGGAGTTGCCATTTGTCCTTTACTAAACAGAAATGTACGAGAGTAGACTGTTATATTAGGCAGAATTTAAAGCTATGCTTTAGGGCTATAGATGTACCTTGTTATGATTCAGTAGGGCACTACCATGCATGAGTTTTGGGTTCAATTCCCGGTCAAGGCTGGAAGGAGATGGGGAAGTAGAGGAGAGGAGAAAGAAAGAAAAGTGAGGAGGAAAGGATGAGAGAAGGATGTAAGGGAGGAAGGCAAAGAATGAGGGAAGTACTATTTTCAAATAATGTATGTTTTATGTTTGTCAGCAATTTAATGGAATGAAAAATTAAGGGTATTGATATGTATTTCCAGGAGAAAGATATTTTTTCTCTTCTACTAAGTCTTTTTACTTGTTTTAAAGTATAATTTATTTTTCCACAGTTAAATGTTGACAGACATTTTAGTATGCCGTTAAACATAGTCAAGGTTTTGCTGTATAGCAATTGCCCTTAACAGTGGTTTAAAGTCGAAAGTGCTTCTCAGTTGCAGGGGCTAAAGGATGATTACTTCGGACTAGATTGGCTGTCCTATGCCTGAAGGATCTGGGGTACTTTTGCTCGGACATGCCATTTGGCAGTTGTATTTGGAGAAGGTGAAGATCATAAGACTCATCATCTAGCCGGCTAATAACTGTGGCTTACTGCTGTCGGAATATTTTTAGGAAGAGTCAACATCCCTTTAAAAAAACATGGCCATGTGACAGTGTCCTATTGATCAAAGGAAGTTGCATAGTCAAGCTTAGCTTGATCCCAGGGCAGAGACTACCATGGTGTACATGTAGGAAAGGAAATTATGGAAGTTATTTTGGCAAGAGTACACACAGCTAATATTTTAAGTTTTCGTAGGCAAAACTAGGGGGCATTAAGGAATGGGTATGCTTGAACGCCATGTGTCTGTAATGGATGCCATGAAGTTTGTAACTTAAGAAATATGCATCTTCAAATACTTTACTGAGGAAAAAAGGTGGGGTTGCTGATCTTAAGATGTAGTATGATCACAGGTGGGTATGTAAAAAGAAACTTAAGCATCACTTTAGTTTAGCTGTGCCTGGAAACCAACAATGTATAAATGATGAGGAGATAGAAGTCCAGAGACTCATGAGATATGAGGGTTAATAACAGAAGCAGAGTAGAAGAAATAGATTGAGGAAAGGAGATTTGTATGCGTGTGTGCGTGCGTGTGTATAAGTATGATCAAGAGATCCTTTAGATGCAGTAGATCTGTATAGAGGGGAAGTTCAAGATGTGGCTGACAGAGGTACTTAAAGCTGAGCTGAAGGGACTGATTCTAGGTGTCAGGTGCACATCTTGAATGGTTTAGGAAACCTCAGAGAACCTTTGTGGTTCTAGAATGTCTTCATCTGAGAGTCATTATGATGTTATAGAGGTGGATGGGAGGGGAGAGGTGAGCTCTGACATACCCATTGGTATCACTGAACTGTGTGGAGAAGGTCCTGGAGCATAACAACAAGCACAGGAGAGAGAAATGACCTGATGTGAGACTGTTCTCATTAGAAACACGCTAAGTTTTCATATCTACCACTGACTTGAAAATACTGGCTCTTATTTTGATTCATATTTGTATTTTAAGTACTTAGTCCTTGCACTAAGCGGGGTGGGGGCCTTAAAGTAGAGAAGAAATTTGGGTTGGTGGTTTTCCAAGGGATTGAACACCAGGAAGACAAAAATCTTTAACTGTTTTTTCCTAACTGTATGATTCTAGAAAAGAAATATGTTATTAACTTCCAATCTAACTATTAAGGCATTTGTAAGGTAAGGTGTAGCAGAGTGAAGGATTACCTGATTGGCAGCCAAGTTGGAGCTATCAGATTTGTTTTCATTTTTATTGTATTTTCTTTTAGACAGGGCCTCACTTATGATGCCCAGCCTGACTTAAAACTATGGGGCTCCAGAAGCCTTCTTGCCTCAGTTTCCCATGTATATACAGTTAAATGCCACTGAGCCCAGTTCAAATTAATTTTTTCATTTTCAAAAATTCTAGAGAGATACCAAATTTATAAGAAGCAGAAGTACTAGTTATTAAAGTTTATAATCTATCTTTTATGCATATTTAGTTTTATAAAAAGTATAATGCCAGAAATGGTGTTTTATCTGTCATTGAATTGTTAAATTATGACTTGGATCTTACACTCCAGTATATCTTAAACACTTGAGTAAAATATCTATCAAGTGCTTTAGAGTCTTGTGATGTACTTGTTATACATAATTATACCATGAATAAGATTCATTTTTCTGCATGATTTCACAACTAGCTAAACAAGTGTATTTTTAGATAAGGGTCCTTTGTTGTCCAGGCTCAAACTGCCTCAGTGTCCTACCCAGGATGACAGATGTGTGTGATCACACTGTATTAGACACAGGCTCTTTAAAATTAAATGTTTTTTTAAACTTGATAGCCTGTTACCTGAATATGTAAATATAAGCAGTAAATGTTGCTTGTATTTTTTTAGTTTACTGAAAGATAAGTTTTTTACTTATTTTGAAAATAAGTTTATGTCTTGGAATTTTACAAGTGACTAAGGATTGACCTTTAATTTTCACTAAGCCTTAGATTTAAGAAATAAGGAACTTTATTAGTTAGGAGACTTTGGATTTGATTTATCCTGGGTCAGTGCAGATAATGATAAACCTAATTGGTTTTGATAGCTTTTGTGTGTGTCCAGTAACTCTTAAAAGTTCTTTCCTTTCTGTATAGTTTTTTAAAAGTCCCTTTTGCCCTAATGAATGTTTGTTTTTTATGTTTAGGATAAATATACTTACCATTCAGCTCCAGTTGATAAACCCCACAGCAGACTGCAATGCAGACCATCAAGATCACAGAAGAAAAAGTCCAAGTCCCCTGAGAGGAATAAATACTGCATCAACACCAAGAACTACGAACAGCCTACAATAGCTTCAAAGTCGCACTCTCCATCTCCCTACACAAAGAGACGGATGTGTGAGCTCTCTGAAGACACCAGGCGGCGGCTGGCCCATTTAAACCTGGGACCTTATGAATTCAAAAAGGAAACAGACAAGCCTCCATTTGTGATTAGACATGTATGTTCTCATAAGCATTTCCATTTGAAATTTGTCGAATCTATCCGGCTGCTAAAACATTATGTTGAAACACATTTCAATAAGCAACTCATATAAATTATTTTCTTTCTTGAACTCTTACCCAGCAGCTAAAAGTAGAAAATTAACTTAAAACTAAAGAACATGCTTTTTGTTCCCCCTTGATGGCTTTAATGCTGAGATCACACTTCACTATGATGTCATATCGAGACTTCAGAGTCCCCATTCCCTCTCACTTCACACAGTGGGCAGTGCTACAACTCTACAATTGAACTTGGTTGTAATTGACATTGATACTAAAGTGCCAAAGGAGGATGTTAAAAGAGAAAACTAAGTTTCCTATAAGAAGGGGCCCATTCCAGACCTTTAAAGCATGATAGTGGAAGTAGATGTTCCTTTGAGAGCAGGTCTTTTGGGAAAGCTTTGGATCCTGAGTCTTTGAAGCCAGCCCTTGTTTGATGAGCATGCACGCATAGGAGGACCTTTGGATTAAGGTTAGGGTAGCTCTGATCTTTCTATTCACAGCCTTATGCTATGCTGGAAGCTAAGCAACATTTCATGCCATTTTTATGTTTTGCCTATAAATCAATCCTTTATTGCTTAAAATTAAATTCAACTATAAATTTTTTATTCAAAAATTATAGTGTAATAAATATAACCATATGTTAATATTTATTAATGATACATTCTTTTGTTTTTTTTTTTGAGACAGGGTTTCTCTGTGTGACAGCCCTGACTGTCCTGGAACTTACTTTGTAGACCTGGCTGGTTTCAGACTCATAGAGATCTGCCTGCCTCTGCCTCCTGATTGCTGGGATTAGATTAAAGGATTGTGCCACCACCTTGTGGCAATGATATTCTTGTTTATCTAATTTGATCATAAGTTTGGTTCTGTTGAACATTATTCAGACAAGAGTTTGATTGAATTGCTGATGGAAATTTGAGAATGCTTTTGACTTTAATACTGCCCATAATTACAAATTAAATTGAAAAGAAAGGATATACCATCTGCTAGTTTGAAGGAATTATCAGTTGCTTCTTAATTAAAATACCTGTATACAAAAGCTAAGAATGATCATGGGAGTTAGACACATAAATGTTGGGGAAACAATAACTCTCAAGTGCTTATTAATACTTTTCATGACAGTAATTTAAAATATAAACTTCGTAAATGTTATTTTTTATAGAATCTATTTTCTAAGTTATATTTTTTAAAGTTTTGAGTATTTCATATGTGAATACTTACACCTCTTCTTCCTCCTCCATGTCCCCAAAATCCATAACTTCTTCCATAAATATCATTGTTTTATATACATATATATATATGCATATTTACACACACACACACAATATTGGGTCCATTAGTGCTGCTCATATGTACACATGGCTAGGGCTGGCACTTGGATTATATAACATGTTTGGGAGTTTGTCTCTGGAGAAAACTGATTCTCCCTCTCAGCTTATCTAAAGGTGTGATCAAGACCTTGTGAAAATTTCCCCATCCATGTTGGCATGTTAACTAGTGCTGTGATTATCTAGGTCTTGTTTATGTAACAACACTGTTGAGATATCAAGGGCTGGGAGAGGTGGTACACACATTAAATCTCAATACTGGAGAGGCAAGTGGCTCTCTTTGTGTATAAAGCTAGCCTGCTCTACATAGCAAGTTTCAAGACAACTAGGGTTTCATAGTAAGACCCTTTCTCAAAAACAAATATAACTAAACAAAAGAAATTTTATTTAATTTTTATTTAAGAGGTTCCCCTTCAGCTTTTCTGTGAACAGAAATGTATACTTCTAAGAACATGTAAAAATTGTCTATATTATTGAGTAGGCATTGGATTTAGAGAGAATTCAGGGATAGACAACTATTCATGGTTTCAGAAGAACTTGGGAAACTTGTAGCAAAAGAAGCTTAATTTAATGCAAACATATGCAAATACCATAAGAAGGGAATAGTACCTGACCCAAAAGAGAGAGAGAGAGAGAGAGAGAGAGAGAGAGAGAGAGAGAGAGAGAGAGAGAGAGAGAGAGAGAGAGAGAGAGAGAGAGAGAGAGAGAGAGAGAGAGAGAGAGGGAGAGAGAGGAGAGAGAGAGATGAGAGAAGAGAGAGGGAGGAGAAAGAGGGAGGAGAGAGGAGAGAGAAAGAGAGAAGAAAGATGACTATGTTAACTGTTTTTAGAATTCAGATCAGTATACAAAGGGGATTCACATGGGGTACCTTGAGAACTTCCCCATTGGAAACCATGTGTTCATGAAGTGCTCCACATTCTATTGTTCCACTGAAATTCCTAATATTCTTGCCTCCATGAGGTTGCCTGTTCTGCCTGTTCATGTAAATAGAGTCAAGCAACTTATCTTGGGCACAACTCACTGATGTTGCACATGTTTTCACATGCATTTTATTTGGCTAATATTACATTGTCTGGGTAGCTGTCTCTTTTTGTTTATATATCATGTCTGTTGGTAGGTATTTGTGTTGTTTATACCCTTGGTTACTATGAACAATGCTTTAATGAGCAGCATGTGTACAAGTGTTTGAATAAATACTTATTTTCAATGCTTTTGGGTAAAGACCTAGGAGTAGACCTGCTTTATTATGTGCCAATTGTGTATTTAACCTCAAGACTTGCCAAGTGTTCCTCAGAGGTGTTGCACAATTTGCATTCCTGCCAGCTGTACAAGAGGATTGCAGTTTTCCTACATTTTCATGAGCACCTGAGCATCCCCCCACATCCTTCTTTGTGGTGGTGAGGTTAAAGCCAGGGCCTCTTGGATGCAGGGCTGCTTAATTTTCTCTCTAGTCCTCCTGTGAGTGTGAGTGGCATCTCCTCCTGGTTTGATTAGCATTTCTCCAGTGACTGGGACTGGTGATGTTAAACATTTCCTCATGCATTAGTGAATATCCTTAAAAATGCCTACTCAAAAGTCTATTGCTCGTTTTATGATCTCTTCTTTATTGCTATTGTTGGCTTGTAGGAATTCTTTGAATGATCTATGTAATAGTCTCTTATCAGATACGTGATCTTCACTTTTGTTACCCCAAGTTAACCTTTTCCTCTTCTTACTCTTTGATTCACAAAAGGTTTTAGTTTTGCTCAGCAGATCCATCTTTCTGATTCAGTTACATCACTGTGACATTTTATGTTTAGTTAGAAAATATGGTAGAACTCACTATAAAGTGGCCAGCACAGCAAAGACACTGTTTGAATTCCATGTGTGTGCTAAGACAGGTGGAAATATGGTAGACCTTTTCTAGGTAAAGCATGTAGGTTGCTCTAGGGTGTTATTTTTATTTTTGTAACTTTGTAGTCAAAACCAAACTAGGAAACAGGGTAGTAAGTACTTAACTGTAAATTTGTTCTTTTTTGGGGGTGCCATTTAATTTCAACTCTGTTGAAAAGTGCATAGTAAATAAGTTACTTAACTCTGACTTTGGAACACAGAAGCAGTGTGGAATTCACCTGCTGTGTGGCATATGCCCTCCAGTTGCTTAGCAATGCTGTAAGATTGAGAATGGGAATGGAAGGATGAAGTGCTCTTTCACATTGTAAATCCTCTTTCTTCTAGGTTGATCCCCCCAGTCCCAGGGCTGATGCTTTCTTTGGATCACCTGGCAGAGACTGTGAAAGAGATGAATGGGTCAGGATGCACAATGGTAAGGGGGAAGCTTCCTTTCTCCTACTCTAGGTGCTTGAGCTAATATCAAGCCTTACATGGCACTGATTGAGAAAACACATTTTTTGCTACATTGCTAGATATTGTGATAAAGCTTTTTACAAACAGAACGGACTGGATTTCTGTACTGTTAAAAACATTCTTTTAGATTAAAAATGTATATTAGAAATTTTAGCATATTAAATACTAATTTATCTTTTAGTAAAAATTACTTGATAGTGTTCTACTCAACATTTTCTACATTATTTGACTACAAAACACGTTTCTCACTTTAATGTGTTAATTTCTAGAATAGATTTTGAGAAACAGTGAAATAACTCAGGGTTATGGGTTTGGAAGATTATATATATATGCTTGAATAATTAGCCCTGCCAATTATTTATATATATAAACTAATTATAGCATTCTTGGAAATTTTAACTCCATCAATAGCTAATCAATAAAGATTAGAGATAACATAGAAAATGTTACCATGAAAAGTGTATGAGCATACCCACTTTGAAAATATCAGCCATATATAAACTAATTATAGCATTCTTGGAAATTTTAACTCCTTCAATAGCTAATCAATAAAGATTAGAGATAACATAGAAAATGTTACCATGAAAAGTGTATGAGCATACCCACTTTGAAAATATCAGCTAAATTGATATTTCTGAAATGATGAATTCTTTAGAATTAGTCTATAAGAAAATGTTTTACTTCTTAGCCCTAGTTTGTTTTTAGTGGGGTGAGTTTCTTAAGTTCAATGTGAGGTTTTTTAAATACGCTTAAATGACATTGTATAGTGAAGAGTATTTGAATATTAATATCAGTAGAAAGTGGCTAGCAACTAAGTAAGTATTCCCTGGCAACTTTTAACATTAATTTCCTACACACTGAAAACATCAGAGTAAAAGAAAAATGATACAAGGGGAAGAAAAATGGAATCATAACATGCACTGAGCTTGAATGCCTTCCGTTTCTGGCTATACTGTATGCCTTCTTTTTAAATGAGGAAACAGAATGCTCTTTTTAGAGATGTTTTGTTTTTGTTTTAGCTGATAAAGAAATGGACTTTGGCTAAACTTGAGTGTTTACAGTCAGAACATTTGATGAAAGGCTAAGTATATTCATAGGTTCTTGAATTTGGTTTTTTTTTGTCCCCCTCCTTCCTTCCCTCCTTCCTTCCTTCCCTTCCCTTTACTTTTTCTTTCCTTCCATTTGTTTTGATTTTTTAGACAGGGTCTCTCTAAACAGCTGCGCTGTCCCAGAACTTAGTCTGTAAAACAGGCTGGCCTCAAACTCACAGAGTTCCTCCTGCCTCTGCCTCCTAAATTCAAGGATTAAAGGTATGCCACCATGCCCAGCTTGTATTTTTATAAAGTAATTGTTTTACCAAAAATGTTGTCATTCTTTATCAATACATTTATATATAGAATATGGATTGTGTGAAAATTAAATACAAATGTAACATTTCCCCTCTTGGCAGAAAGTTATGGTGTAGAAAATGGGCTGTGTGAATGAGACAAAGGGAAATAACTCCCTTGTAGATCTGTATTGGGAAGATTCATTTGCAGTGCTACATGCTTGATCTGATTTGTCATCAAGGTGGCTATTGTTCCTAATGACCCAGCTGAAGTTTCCCCTCCCTCAACTTCTCCCAGTCCCATCCCCTACATTCTTCCTCACCCAGATCCACTCCCTCCAACATCTCTCCCTCCACCCATCCCAGTGGTTCTTTAGGAATGAATGAATATGGTTTTCTTGTAGGCAGCATTGAAGGAAATGCTTTTTAATTGTTAGTTACTGCTTAGCATTTGAGGCTTTCAAGTATCTTTCATATCCATTTGGTCAACAAATCTGTAATTTAGTGTGAGCTTTTTGAGACTTTATATTTTTATTCTCCTGTATTTTGTTTTTAAAGAAAAATATATTTATGGAAGAAGCATTGAACTAACTGAAGACCTTAGTTTTATTACTTATTAGATAGGAATCCAGTATCTTTACATGTAAAGTATAAGTAATAATCAGTCGTAATTATTCTACTAGGCTGCCTGTGCCGCTGTACTAAATGTTGTGGAAAGCTTAGTTTAAAATCAAATGACGATGACATAGTCTACATTTATGGAGTTTCAGAAAGCCAAGATCAAGATGGTGGGAAGTTAGATTGTCTTGTATAATGACACTGTACTCATGACTGTGTAAGGGAGGAGAGAGGGAAAATGTACAGCAAGAATGGGAATGAATAACAACAAGGCTCCTGGTGTCTGTTTTCCAGTAACATTGATCATGTCTTGAGGCCCACTGTCATGACCTCATCTAAGTACTATCACCTCCCAGAAAACCATTTCACTGGGAGTGAGGGCTTCATCATAGGAATCTCACAGGAGGGGACACAGATTTAGTCTTTATCATCTCTTCCATGCTATTATTGGATAGGAAATTATAGCTAATATTTAAAAATATTTGCTGCCAGCAGCTATTTGTGTACTCAGTTTCTTGTTTAATTATCATTGAAATTTCATGAATGTTTAGAGACTTATTTCCATTTTATGGATAAAGAAACCTGCAATTTGAATTTCTTCAAGATTACACATAGTATCTGAGATAACTGTTTCCTATTTCTCCAAACTTTTCCTAAATAGAATCTCACTTATTATGCCCTGTTCAGTTTTCTCCAGGTTTACAAAGCTTTTTGATTGTCTTCAACTTTGAGGGATTCCCTGTGATACATTTTATGTTATTAATTACCTGTAACTTTCCTATGTCTAGTCTGTTCTTTTATGCTTCTGCTATTCAACATTGTACAATATAACTAAAATAGATTCTAAGTTCTTCATGACCATAGGCTATGACTTTTATCTTCTGCTGCATTTAGAGCTTAGTTGGTTCCTAATTGTTGGTGAGAATGACTCAATGTGAATATTGAGAAACTCAATATCAAAGTAAAAGCTTAATTCGTAAAGAAATGAAAGAAATTATAAGGCTGTCAAATTACACTGAATTTATACATGTAATTTGATTTCAAAGCTACTGTGTGGTAGTTACTGTATTGTCATCTCTCATGGGTTATAGAATGTAAATCTAGACTTTGTCTTGAACATAGGTAGATATTGTTTGTATGCTCTTGAAATGAGGACTGAAACAGAGATGGAACATGCAAGTGGGCTGGAAAAATATATCCAAAGTAACACAGTTAGAAATGAAGCCCAGGCTTGCTTGAATTAGAATTTAATGTTGGAGCTAGTTTTCTTTGTGACTTTAATTTTACTTTAATTCATTCGCAATTACAGTAATATTAACTTTTAGACAATGTTATAAAAGATGGACATCAGACAAATTTGGAGTCTTGACCTAATAGTTTAAGGAAAATGATTGGTACCATAGAGTCAGTGTTGGTGTCTGAAATATGCAGTGATAGCTGCCTACCCCCAAAGCCTGTGACTTCCCTATGCCTCACCATCGATATAAAGAACATTTCACAATAAACTGGCTTGGTGACTTAAATCACACATTTTTTTGCAGACTCATTGGTTTACCAAAAACAATTATTCTTTTGTCTCTGTAAAATCAGATACTTCCTAATCTAATGAAAAGAGCCTTCGTGAAGTCACTGCCTGCTGAAGAACTGACATATAACTTGTTGGGTTGGGTTGTCGTCTTGGCGCTCTAACACTGCTGAGGAATTTTGAAGTGCTTTTGAAATCTGTATTATTTGCGTTTTAGAAATGTTGATACTAGAAATCATAGGTGAAGCCAATCCCTTGCCTTTCTGAAGTTGCATATTGATCTTTTGTTCTACATAACCTTTTCCAGATCATCCTCACTTTGGCTGCTGCAGATCCAAGGATTATAAGGTGTGTCATAACAATTATATAATGAAAGCATAAGCATATTTCTGCTCTACAAATTCTTCTGGAAATTTTATAAAATAATGTGAAAGCAATAGTTGTCAAGCATGAAATGTCATAGTTATGGTGGCTGTGCCAAAGAGGGCAATATGCCTTCACTGAATATCTCCCTACAGATATGGTGTGGGTTTCATTATCCACTTGTTGAATTTAAACGTGTGGGTGTGTGTCTGAATGTGTATGTGAGAGGGACAGGGAGACTACACATGCACATGTGTGTGTGCAGTGCACACGAACATTGATTTGTGTAATATGACTATGTGTTCTTAATACACACATGTAGTATACGTGTACACACATGCATTTGCCTGCGTGTGTTTAATGCATATATGCGATAAATTATATATGTATGTATATATGTGTACATATACACACATATATATCTGTCTTTGCATACATATATACACACACAGGTGAGCTAGAGTCATGTTCAATACCCAACATGGAATAAGGAGGCTTCCTTAATTATTCTAAAGGCAGACTTTCTTCTTTTGAATTTTTTTTATTTTACATACCAACCACAGTTCCCCTCCCTTACCTCCTTCAGCTCCCCCCACCTCCTCCCATCCCACCCCCTATCCACTCCTCAGAAAGGTAAGGCCTCCCATGGACAGTCAACAAAACCTGGCATATCAGGTTGAGGCAGGAGCAAGCCCCTCTCTGCTGCATAAAGGCTGAGCAAGACTTCCTATTCATTTCCTTTAAATAATGCTCCACAGTTGATAATTACATATTTTCATCTTTGTTTACAGTCATTTTCTTTTACTAATTAATAAAAATCAGGCTATCAAGTGTTTTATTGATTTTGTTTCTTAATAATTGCTATTACCTAGTATATTGATATATAATATAATATGTATTATATAGTATACAAATTGTGTGCATAGATTAATAAAACAGCCAAATATGGAAAGAATGGAATAAAATTTGCGTGGTACTAATATGGCTGTAAATTGACTAGTTCATTTAAAGATGGATGTGAAGACTCTTCCCAATGTGTTCTACTAAGAACTGCACCTCCAAGTGTCTTTAATCTCCTACCCTCCTCTAGATTCATTACTTTTAGGGTTTTCCTAAAAGACCATGCGTGGTGAGTAAATTCTCAGATTAGTTCTGTATCGAGGATAGAAATTTTCGTGGAAATGCATCTATCATCAATTATAGAAAGAAGAAAGGATTATTTTTAGGGGTAAAAGTAGCTGATTGATGAACACTCTGGTAGTAGAAAATTACAGAATTTCAACAAGAGAAAAACTCTGAATCATGGAATGTTCCAGAGAGTTTATAGAAAAAGGCACTGTTTTGAGGCCCGTGGTGACTTATAGGGAGTGAGAGAAAGACGAGTGAGTCTGCAGAAGGAAAGCAACATGTGGGATGTTGTAGTAAGTACAATGTTCATGGAGAAAAGAGAAATTATTTAGGGAGTTGAACATATGGTGTGTGCTGAAGGATGAGGCATCCTTTTTATTCCCAAGGCTGCCCCACACCTGGTACAGATTCTGTCTCATCTTTGACAGTTTCTAGTTTTTCACTCTTGATTCTCTTTTGGACAAATTAAATTCTCTTTACTGTGGATGTATAATAATCGACTTTTCTCATCAATTCTCTTAGGCCCATTTCTGTTTTACTCTTTACCCCATCCTGAACCAGTGCCCTTATTCTTTTCCTGTGCAATTGCACTTATCTTGTATATAATAAGTACTTACTTAATATTTTGACTCTCATTGGGGATGTCATGTTCAAAGAGACATTTTGAGTATTTATGGTGATATTATTACAGTTAGATAGGGAAAGTGGTTTGGTGTATGCTGAGCTGAGCTAACAGATGATTTGAAATAATGAAGATTTACTTCATATAATACATGGTTTTCAGGTGAAAAGCAGATTGGTAATTATCAGAACCTAGAACTCTATATTTACATAGAATCAGTGAGTTTTTAAATTGTGTTTTAAGGTACATTGTATCATAGGAGTACATGTGTACAATTATAATCTGTTTCTTTAAAACCATATTCTGTGATTTTTATTTTCTTAAACTAGTGGTAGTACAATATATTGTTTTTTCCTAAAGTGTGTGTTAAATGTATTGTAATTAAACTGTCTTTGTTGATGATGATAAGTCCCAACACACACACACACACACACACACACACACAAATATGCACACATGCACATATACATATGCACACATACACCACAAACACTCCACTATGTGTTCTGTCTTTCTCCTTACCATTCTTTCTCAGAATAACGCTGTCTTCTCTCCTTACCATTACTCTGGAAGTATTTGGGAGAAATGACTTCTATGAGAATTTTAGACTAAGGAGTTATTATGCCCCTTTAAATAAAAGAAATGGGGAGCCATCATACTAAAATTGGGAAGTATTCCAAATAAAAATGGAAAAGAAAAGAAAGAAAAATACCCTGACTCAGCAATATGAGAGCAAGAATCTCCAAAGATTAATTACGCTGAGTTTGTTTTGTGTTTACCATCTATTGCTGGGCTTTATCCTTCAGAGTGGTTTGTTTCCCAGTAAGACTCCTTAGAGAAAACTAACATTTGCTTTTTTAAGTGTATATCAATTGGAGATAGCTTCAGAGTTACGGATGGGGGTGTTTGTCCACTTCTCCTTTTCATTCTAGAGCCCCATCTGGTGCAGTCCCAGGCAGGCTCTGTGCATGCTGCCTCAGTTTCTGTGACTTCATGTGTGCATTAGCTCTGTTGTGTCTAGAGACATTGATTCCTTCACGTCCTCTATCATCTCTTGCTCCTAAACTCTTTCTCATCCTCTTCTGCAGAGTTCCCTGAGCCCTGAGAGAAGGGATTCGATGGGGGGCTATCCCATTTAGGCCTGAATGTTCCAGTGTCTCTTACTCAGCATATCTGACTGTGGATCTCTGTATTTATTCCCATCTGCTACATGAAAAAGCTTCACTGATGATGGTTGAGCAAGACATATGAGTAAAACAGAATATCACCAGGAGTCATTTTATTGCTGTTTCTCTGGCAAAATGGTAGTATTTGGTTTTACCCCAATCCCTGGTCTGTCTAGTCTCAGACACTTGGTCAGCTAAGAAGCATTGGGTATGGGTTCCATCTCATGGAGTGAGCCTTAAGTCAAATCAGATATTGGTTGGTTACTCCCACAAGACCTGTGCCACTGTTGCATGAATTTATCTTGCAGGCAGGGCACCATTGTAGATTGAATGGTTTGTGGCTGAGTGGGTGTCATGAACTCTAGTTCATAGTGATGAAGTCTCTAGGTAGACAACAACTGGACTTCAATGAGTTGTATAGGTGTTGTTTTCAGGAATATGACCTTACTGTGAGTTTGTGGTTTGTGGAGAACAGCCTTGCCTTGGCAATGTCTCAGATTGTTTGAAGGTTCCCATAGGCCTCTTTTGGCCAATAACTTGATCAGATATAATTAATTCCCAGTACTTGAAGCTTTATCTGGTTATGAGAGATGTCCAATTTGGGCTCTGTTTTCCCCATTATTTGGTGATTTGATTCAGATAACCTTCATGTATGTATGTAGTTTACTTCTATTTTGTTAGCTTTCCATATCTCCCTTAGGTTTAGCTGCCCCTGCCCATATTACCTCACTCATGCCTCTCTTCCTTGTCCCTCCCCATTTGATCCCCCAGTTCCAGCTCCCAATGCCCGACCATTCATAACTATCTATTCCAGTGGTTTTCAACCTGTGGGTCATGACCTGTTTGGGGGTCACATATCTGATATTCTACATATCAGATATTTACATTACAATTCATAACAGTATCAAAATTTTAGTTATAAAGTAACAATGAAATAATTTTATGGTTGGGAGAGTCACATAATATAAGGAACTGTGTTAAAGGGTTGCAGCATCAGGAAAGTTGAGAACCACTGATCCATTCTATTTCCGTCCTTTAGGAAGATACATAGCTCCCCGAAAACCCAGTCCTTTGTCCTTTACTCTCTACATTTCCTTGATGGTTTTATAGATTATAACTTTCTTATCAATGACCAGCTAACCTCCACATTTTTGTAAATTTTTCTTTCCATACGCCATATTGACATACTGTATTTGTCTTTCTGGGTCTGTGTTACCTCATCCAGGATGATTTTTTTTTCTAGTTCTACCCATTTAACTCCAAATTTTATGATTTTCTATTTTTAATTGTTGAATATTCTGTTATATAAATGTTCTGCGTTTTCTTTATTCATTCATTCATTCATTGATAGGCATCTAAGTTGTTTCCAGTTTCTGGCTATTATGAATATAACAACAACAAACATGGTGTCTCTGTAGTAGGATGTAGGGAACCAAACCTAGGTCCTCTGTAATTACAACAGGCACTATAAACCACTGGTCCATCTCTCCTTCCCCCAGGTTTGATTATATAAAGAAACATGACACACAGTTTTGCAGTCATCAGTTTAATGTTCACTGCTCCCATTGCTTTGGCAAGGTGGCATATCATGGTGGAAGCACATGGCAGAGGAAAATCACTTCCATCAGGATGCAGGGAGCATGAGAGAGGCACACTGGATTCTACCATTTTTTAAAGACCTCCTAGTAGGCCCCACCCTTAATGGCTTTATCCTCTCCTGACTGAGCCTTTCTGAGGATTACGTTTTTATCACATGGGCTTCTGCACAGCACACAAGAATCAGATTATAGCAGCTAAGAGCTAAAGGGTTTGACATGATCAAGAAGAATTTGAAAAGCACCTTGATGACCTTGAGCTCTGTTATTCTAATGTGTCATGGGCCAAGTTATGTTATTAAAAATGAGAAGACAATTGAAGATTATTACTGTTCAGTAAATAGCCTACAACATAAAAACCTTATTACCTATAAATCATTTAAATATGACCTGGAAGGAGGATTTCACAAACTGAAACAAACCCATGGAAGTCTGTCAGTTTGGCTGATTATAATGAGAACTGATCCAGATTATTGGTTGTTTCAAATTTAGGACTTGAATCTGTGATGCTAAAAAGTCAGAGGAGGCAGTTTGCCTGTGAAGAAAGCAAGCAGGCAAACAACAGCCTAATCCAAGACACCAACCAAGAACAAAAATCTGAGAAGTAACTTTGAATTGCTATTGCAATGAGAACAGCCCACGTTCTCATTCTCTGGGTCTAGTTCAAATATGAGTTTAGTAATTTATACTTGTCCATGTGCATGAAACTGTCAGAAAATACCAGTGAGACACATTGTAGATCCATTAGCGAAGCACCACCAACTTTTAAGTCTTGTCAAAAAATATTACTAAAAGGTTCTACAGTCCTAGAAGACTGTGAACCTAGCTTTGGACTTGGTTTACCAAACCCACTTCAACATTATTTCATCATGGCAGCTGGGGAGAACTCTGAGAAGGGAGCCTGAGGGATTTAGAGGATCCTAGAGGAAGGTGCTATTTCTGCACTAAGGCTTTTATCTGTGTGGATCTATAGACTTTAGTGGGTATCGGGGTTGTCAAGTACTAGTTCAACAGATGTCTCCCCCAGCAGCTGTATGCTCTGAGGACCTTAAGGAAATCTTTTTGGTACATAATACAGAATGGAGGGTGCCACATTGACAATATTGTCTCTGAAAACAAAAGGTTGTTTATCTTTATAGGATTTGGAGTCATGAACATTTTGATGGTGAGGTTTCAGTGAAGAATAGAATTGATAAAGTTTATATATAAAGTTTTAGGGTTAATAAACACAGGCTGGAGACTTAGCAGTCATAATAGGTGAGTAGTGAAGGAAAGGATTCATCTGTTCTGAGAAGGACATTGCCTGTCCAGACAGAAGAACCAGTATTATTTTGAGGAGGGAACCCAATTAATGATAGAGCCTTTTGCTGTCCAGGTAGATCGTTAAGGAAGGGTCCTGAGATAAGTGCTGAAGCTATGCATTGGTTTACTGCCTTGTTTCCTGGCTAAATATTCCTTAAGGAAGTCAGGAGAAGGTCATGTGGAACAGAGATGGGCCTTAGTTCTTCACGTAGTTAAGTCATATGGATGCAGGTGTTCTGGGTTCTCCTATTTCACGGTTATATTTTCCCCTTAATGTGTTGCACATTATTAGATCTATTGAACTCAATATGGCAAACTCCAGTTGCATCTAGTTTTCAACTGTTGTAATTTTGTATCTTTATACATGAATAAAACTCTATTGTGTATATGTACCACAATAATGGACTCAGATTGAGGCCGTAATGTTCCCATTTTGTCTTCAGGCCTTTTTTACTATGTTCTCCTTATGGTGAGGTCCCTGCTGACCACTTCTTCTAAAACAATTTCTTTTCATCTGCTCCCATTCCACCCACCAGCATTTCTGATATCCTTTCTTGTCTTACTTCTTTTGGTGGAATTTAATACTCTTTGGAAAACCTCATATTTTATTTATGTATCTTGCACCATGTTTACGTTTTAAAAGTTATTTATCCTTAATAGAATTCTGCTTGAGTACAATTCCATAATTGTACAAATGTGTTAATTTGTCTATCTTGATTCATGTATCTGGCTGTTCCCAGAAGCAATGAAAGTTATAGGGAGAATTTGTATTGTACCTGCTTGACCCTCAGAGCAAAATTAAGCAATCATTTATTCATATGTATTCTTTATTTATGTACATTAGATACTTCCCAACCCTAACTCAAAAATATTTTGAGTTAGTAAAATTGTATCATCTTGTGACTACCTAGATATGACTTAAACAAGAACAGCAACAGCAGATATGCTTAAGTGGATGGAAGAAAGCCCAGGAGGCCTCAACCCTATAGAGAACTACAAGCAATTAGATAATGCTCAGAATAGGGGAAATAGCCTTATCCAGTGAAGAGCATATCAATTAATTTTCCATACCGATCACCTGTCAACAGAATGAGCAGTGTTTTTATGTAGTTAGGGATATACATATAACAACAATTAATGAAAATGAGACCATAAATTTTAAAAGGGAGCAAGGCAAGAGCCATAGATGAACATTTAGAGGGAGGAATTGGATGGAAGGATGATATAATTGCAATTTCAGAAAATAAATAATTAGAAACAAAATATATTGTACATATTTTGTATAGTATGTATGCATGTATGTGCTTTATATTTGTATATACCCATATATTTTTAAAAACAGGTTATCAGGACACCACATGGGAGAGACTTTGATGATCCCTTTGAAAGGTGTGAGGAATTTTTGAGCCCAAGGACATGTAACAAGGCCCAGCATTCTGCAAGGACCTTACTAGTACACTCAGCACCCTCAACAGCACCAAAGCATTGTCCAAGCCCTGTGCTAAATAGAGCCTCTCTCAGGGAAAGGTAAGTGTAGTTTCTTTTGCTCCTCATCTTTTCTTTATGAACAGAAAGATTATGAGTTCAAGGCCAGCCTTGGGTATACTTTTCATCTTTTGAATATTCAGCATTAGAAACAGAAAGCAGAATAGTCATATGAAGTAATTGTTTATAAAATTAAAACTTGATTTTGAGGCTTACTTAAAGTGTTTGTTTGGAATAGATTATAGATTGTGTCAATATTTCTTCCTAGCATAGTTCACTTGAAGTGAGTTTATTAGTCAGATCTGGACTCTATCCCTAATTAGCTAATAAAATTCTTAAAGTGAAAAATCTGAATTGTGATAGGTTGTTTTAGTAGACTCATAGTGGCTTATATTATTGATTGCCCTAAGTATAGAAATAGCCCAGGTTGAATTCTCCAATTAGTCTCAATGGTGAAACATGCATTGTTGTATGGCATCTGACTTCTCATTTACTCCTGCCAGCAACCCAATAGAATCTAAATCACAGGAAGAGTCAAGCTCTCCCTCTAGGAATGCTTGCATCCTGAGTCTGAAGGATTGTTATATATTGGGCATGAGAAAAAAACCACCATTTTTTAAATGAAACTATTCTTTCCCCATTTTAAAAGAATCTAGGCTATTTAATAAACTTTTACAGAAAATTGAAACTTGGGAGATATATTTTTAAAACCTTGACTTTCACATTCCTTGGCTACAGATGGCATAAAAAAGTAGCCACTGAATTCTTAAAGAATATTAAGTTCATTCACCAGACATAATTGCAGTGATTTAGTTAACTATACCAGTAGTCCAGCTGAAAACAGCTTTCTTGAACAAGATTATTGCTGCAGCGTTAAAGCATTCTGTTTTGAACAGATAGTTTTATCTGTTTCCTCATTAGCTTTGTAAGTATTTGTATGGGGGGATAGGAGGAGGGAGGGAGATGATGTAAGCATGTGTGTGATGATGGCCTGTTGATAGTGAGATATAGAATATTTTAAATTTAATTGGTTTTTGAGAATTTCAGGCATAAAACTGCTACATTTACATCATTCCCCTCTCCTCCCTCCACAAAGCTCCTCCCACGTCTCCTCACTTCTTCTTAAATTCATGGCCTCCTTTTCTATAATCATTATTGTTATATACACATGTGTATACACACATACTCAATGCATTTAGTGTTGCTCATATATGTAACCTATATGGGTCTCTTCCCTGGAGAAATCTGATTTTCCCTCCCCTTAGTGACCACTGATTTCCTGTAACTCTTCACCTAGGTCTGGAGCCTTGGAAAATTTCCCCCACTCATGCTGACACATTTTCCTGTACTATCATTAACCATGCTTTGTTTAGGCAACCATATTTCTGCGATTTCATGTGTGCATCATCCCTTTTATGTCTAGAAGGCACTATCTTGCAGTGGCTTGGGGTACTCTGACTCTTAAGATCTTTCCACTCCCTCTTCTGTCATATTCCCTGAGCTTAAGAGTAGGTGTGCTGTTGTAGTAGATGTACCAATTGGAGTCAGGTACCTTGACATCACTTGTTTTCTACATTTTGACCAATTTTGATTGATTCCATTTCTAGTTCATTAGAATCATGCCTAAAGGGTAATAGTAATGTGATATAGGAGAGTTCTCATGTGGTGTGTGTGTATATGTGTGACCATATTGTTTTGTGTCCTTAAAATTGTTTTTGAGTATCTTGTTGAATTCTTTTTTAAATGTACTACAATAGCACAGTATTAATTGGGAAGGAACCTGGTTTATTTTGTCTGTGTATAGAATGTAGACAGTCTGTAAATTCTTTCTTGAATATAGCTAAAATTATCTGTCCAACTATATTTCAGTGGAAGAAATATCTTAAAAGTAAATGTAACTATTTGCGTTCTCTCTTCCACCTTCCCTCAAGTTTTATGAGACGTAGTTTCACTCCAAAATCTCAGCTGACCTGGAAATTGCTATGTAGACCAGATTGACCTAGCCTTGTGCTGATTCTCCTGTGTCTGCCTAAGGAGAGTTAGTGTAACTTATTTTCATGTTGAATAATATGATTAATCTCTTACTAAAATACAATAAATGCTCTTAATAGTCAGCATTGCCTGTTTTATTTTGGATTCAATGAAAATATGGCACATTTAAAATAAATGGTGAATTAGTTTGAACTCACTATGAGTTGAAATTTTGTTAATGTTCATTACAAGTATTATAATTTTTCCCAACAAAGTGTAATGCCTCCATTTTGATGCATTTTGTCTATAAGGAAGGACATGCTCCTAGTAGTCAACTCATATTACTAGGAACAAAATGTTTTATTTTTTTAGGACTCAGTAGCCCTCTTTAAATGAATGACAATTTTAGGTTTGGTGTTTCTAGGACTAGCAATATATTTGCAAATGTTTATACAATCTATTGTAGTTATGAAACAGTTGCAAATGAAACTGATACAACTGTGTATTGGATATCCCAATTGGAATTTTTGTCTAAAAGTTGTATGTCAGAGGCCCAGCTTCAAGAGTTTATATGTATGGTATTCATTAAAATAATATTTTCTCTAAGTAGGCAGTAAGATGCTAACCCTTTGATCATGTTTTTAATGAACAGATTTTAAAAACTTCATCAGTTTAAGTCAACTAGTTCTTATTTTAGTCCAAGTGCTTTTTTCTTTTCACCCACTAAAAAACTACCTCCAGATATTGCCATGCCATAAAATGGTTTCAATTTTGTTTGTATTACAGAAGCACATTTTTCTCTAAGTATAAACATTATTATGACTCCAGATTTTTTTTTACACTTTACAATGTTACTAAAATCAGGCTTAGATATTAGCATACCTAATTAAAAGGGAATTGGTGCCCTTTTAAATCAGGCTTACGTTTTTTTCTTTTGTAAATCATATTAAAGATTGTGAGGCAAGCATTCCTTATGCCATAGCACAGACTAATGGCTCTGTTCTTAGTGCTGTTTGGAGACCCTGGAGTTGCACAGCTGGATCTTAGATTCCCACAATGGGTTTCATGTACTGAAATAATTGTTCTGCCAATCCACTTCCATAGGTGCAGCTAATCTTCCTTTTATCTACGTGAGAAATTGTTTAGGATTATCTACTAAATGATTATTGATTATGTCCTTTAAAGTATATCATTTAAACCATTCATCTATTTATTGATCTGTACCTTGTATAATAATGTAATATTCTAATTTTGTAAGAACAAGCTGAGGGGACCAAAGGGCACCAAATTTAAGTAATATTTTAACACACTTCCTGTTTCTTTATAGGGGAATTATCAACACTTCAAATATATGTATTATAATTAAGGGGATCAGGAAATTTTCATGATGACCTGAATAAAATAAAATACCTTAATTATATGAAAGTCAATTTTGAATTAAGGAAGAGCAGAATGAATATAAATAGATGTTTCATTTTTCCTTTGACATTTTAAATCCCAATACACAGTCTCAAATTAAAGCCATAGTTTTCTTGTATATATTTAAATATTTCATTCTTTTAAAAATATGATTCTCATAGTGGATAGAGAGGTGATATCTGTTGAGATGGGGCCATTTTATTCCTAGCCTGAAAAAGTGAAAATGGAAATGTGAGTAGATTCTAAGTAGTATTTTCATCTCTTACACATATTTTGCTTATTTCATAAAGTTGGTGGGTTGTAGCTTCCTGTTTATTCCTTATAGTTTCAAAGTAAATTAAATTATTAGAGAATAAGTGCTAATTTTAAAGACATCATACATGAAATTATTGTTTTGATGTGAAAAGCTACATCTTTACTTAGAGATAAACACTAAAGAGTGGTGTGTTGAAATAATTAAAGTGATCAGATATGTAGGTATTTTTCCCAAATACATGTCAAAATTAATTAAGACTGTTTTTAGACATTATAGAAGATTGATAGGGTAGCAGAGTATAAGTATCTGAATAAGCTCTTTCTCCTCATCATTGGCCAAAGGAAGAAGTTCTATTATTTTAAGCTTATAAAGTTTGGGGAAATTTTCTTTCCTCTCTTTAAAAGTTCTCTGTTTTTTGTGTCCACAGATTCCACTCTGATTGGTGTTCACCTTCAAACTGTGATGAGATCCATGACCGGGTGAAAGATGTCTTGAATTCACATCATGTTCATGCAAGACATTTATGTGTTAGTTTCTTTATTTTCCCTTTCTAATAGGCTCCCTAAACTGGCCAAGGTGCTTACAGGTTGTGATTCTTAGTTATGGGGAAGAGAATACATTTTCTGAAGGAATCACTGGGTTTACTGCAGGTCAGGTAACCAACTTGCTGCTTGCCCAGAGTCATACAAAATTCCTTTTAATTATTACTTTTGTGGATTTTGTTAGATTTATTTAGTGTGTGTACATGTGCTGGGACACATGTGGAGGTCAGAGAACAATTCTTTCCTTTCACCGTGTGTCTGCCCTGATTTTGTCTGGACCAGAATCCGGTCATTGGGGCTGAAAACAAGGGCCTTTTTTGGTTGAGCCATCTTGGAGTCCTAGGGTTCTTTGCTGTTTTTTCATGTTTCATCTACTATACTAGATATTTAACATTGATCGTGTGAACTATCAGCATTTTTAATCACAATTATCTTACAAAAAGTCACCAAATAGTTTCTCCATAATAATCTCAAGGTTTTCATAATGTAGAAAGTCTTATTTTGTGATCCAGTGATAACCCATTTGGTGAAGGTGCATTTGATTCCACAGATAGATTAGGGAGAGGGGATGTGTGGAGTACTTCTTCTAAATCAGGTGTTGAGCTGATTGACATGTCAATAAATATACAAAAGAAAGAAGAGCAGGTCAGGGTTAGCTTCATTTTGGGAAGTTAGCAGTACACAAGGTTTTCTGAGGTAAAGTAAATAAATGTGTTTATATTTGTGGTAACTTGGAGTTACAACAATATAATATTTTTGTATTAGGTTATTAAATTTCATTAATTAATTTGAAACAATTACTTCTTATAGTTTGCATTTTTCAAGTCATACCAGTTTTCTTTACAAAAATAAAAATCTAGCTAATTTTAGTGAAGATTGTAGTTATGTTTAGATTAATTAAAATTTATATTTTTCTTTTTACTACTTTAGTTATTCAATTTTAAAAACTATCTGTTCTTAATTTGTCTATTACTCTTAACATGCATACAGAACAAATTATTTCTTGGATGACTTTTCTAATAGTATTAAAATGTGAAAACACTGAACTTTTTGTATGTTTATTACCATTATGTTACTTCTATATGCTTTAATAATTAATATACCCTGAAATATAGAATATCTAACATGTATATATTTCTATATTTCTAAAACACAAGAAGTTATTGTTATTCATAAAGTAACAATTATTAGGTTCATATTTGTCTTATTCCTCATCATATATGAGTAGTGAGAAATGGAGACTTTAAATCAGAATCCATAGTATTTCCAGCAGTATCAAATCGAAGTGCTTAGGTACAATTCTACCAGAATATATGTGGGTTGTATGTGTGGTGTGAAGGGCAAACATGAATGAAAGAAGAGTAGGAAAAGGAGCAGTGTGCCACACTGACAGACAGATGGAGGATTTGGTATTTGAAACTTGGTGAACTTACATCCTGTGAAGACCAGAGTCCTGTGCATATTAGGCAGACACTCTGCAGGGGGTCTATGTTCCCAGACCATTTCATGTTATCTTCTAATTTTTTTATATGTAAGAGTATTTTGCCTGAATGTATGTATTTATATCGTGTATGTGCCTGGTGCCCACAGAGATCAGAAAAGGGCACTGAATACCCTGGAACTGGAGTTCCCAATGGTTGTCAGCCACTGTTTGGGTACTGGGAACTGAACTAAAAACCCTCTGTGAGAGGAACAAGTGCTTTTAGCTGTTGAGTCATCTCCCCAGCTAATTTTTTTATATTGTCTTAATCAAAACCCCAGTATACTTTAAAAAACCAAATATTGACAAGCAAGCAGATTCTAAAAAACACATGGAAATACAAAGGAAATTCTAAAATCTAAACAAGGACCAATGAGATAGCTCAGCCAAAGCTGACAACCTGAGTTCAGTCCCTGGGAACTCACATAGTTGAAGGGGACAACCTACCTCTGAGTATTGCCATTTCACTTCCATACATTTGCCATGGCACTTGTGTACATGAGCACACATGTACAAACATATTCACAGGTATACATGCAAGCAATAAATAATATAATGAAAGGAGATTTTAATTATTTGTAATGAACTCCTACATGTATACAGTGAAATGTGATCATATCTACCTCTTATTTTCCCCTCTGACTCCTTCTACCTTATGTCTCCAACACAGCACCTTCCAAAATAATCCTTTAGTTCACTTTTATGTGTACTCTGCACTGGAGCATGGGAGCCTAATAGTGGCTACATCTTCAAAGAATAATGATTCTCCCTTCTCTAACAACTATCCACTGCCAATAGAAATTTGTTCTGAAAAGAACAAAGGTGGAAGACTCGCCATCTAGCCTTAGCAATTTATTGTGTTGAGGACAGTGTAGCATTCACTCACTGAAGCCACAGAAATATCAAATGAGTAGAACAGAGATGCTACAGATTGACCTACAGAAATGCTATTGCTGTTATGTGAAAAAGCTGCAAAGCCAATTTAACAGAGCCCCAGGAAGTTCTTGCTCCTGTTCCCCAGTGTTGAGACTGTATGTATGCCACCACTCCTTGTGTAGCTTACATTGGTGCTGGGGTTGAACTTGTGTCCCCTGGCTATCAAGGCAGGTGGGAAGTCCCTGGCTATCAAGGCAGGCTGTCTTCCCACCCAACACTTTATAGTTTTGCCTTGTGAACAAATGGTTTTGTATGAAAATAAAACAACCCAGCAGCAACAAAAAAGAAAATTCCCTTGGCCCCTAATTCATAACAGATCAAGAGACCTCATGTATTACAATACCTTCAAAGGAAAGCATAGAGAAAATATGGACAATTTGAATTTGGCAAGGGATTTTTTGACATGACACAACCTATACCAGACAAAACAAAATTAAATTAGACCTCATAAAGTTAATAAATGTCTGCTTCATGAAAGGCACTGGTAGAGGAATGGAAAACCTTAGTCTGGGTGAAAATATTTTTAACAGGGCCCGGCCCGGATTTGATCTCCAGACCCATGTGGGGTGGAGAGGAGGAGTAGGGACTAGCCAAAGTTCTTATCACAAGTGATCATCATGTTCTCTTTGGTGTCATGTGATGTGAAGTGTTCTCTACTATGTTGTCACCTTAGTCTAATTTGAGAAAATGTATCTATACTAAAAGACTTTTCAAAACGTATAAACACTGGGTTGGAGCAATGGCTAGTCTTACAACCCAAAACATAAACTACTTGAGCAGTTTTCTTACAAATTACCAAGTAATTGGTCATAGATTAGAAGAGACTAAGGAGACATGATGACTAAATGCTATGGCTATTCTGTACTGAACACTGTAAAAACAGAAGGACATTGTTGAGAAGCCTGAAGATATGAATATAGCTGGCAGCTAATGTGATTGTGCTGTGAGAGTATCTTAGTTTCGCTGAGTGTACCCTGTTATGTCAGATGCTCACATTAAGAGACCCTCAAAGAAAGGGGGCACCTCTGTTTATCGTTCTGTATCATCTCTGCAACTTTTCTGTAAATTTAAATTGTATTCCAGACGTTATTGAGAGTTTCATTTCTGCCCCCTCAGTTTTAATAAGAGTTGGTGTGATTCCAGGCTTTCTTCCTCTCACAGGAAGGAAATTTTTTTGCTTGCTCAGCGTGGAACTCACTTCCTTCTACTTTGGCAGGCTTTCCACTTTAGTGGATCCCTCACTCTGCAGTTCCCAGTGTTCATCACGGAGGGGGCTGTGTGCTCAGGGTTGCACCCATGGAGTCTCACTGGGGCTTGCTTCTTAGGTCTTTAATTTTGTCTGTCTCACACAGGGGATTACCAAACCCCTGTGATTCCTCTGTCCTCCAGCAGTGGAACCGTTGAACAAAGCAGAGTCTTGGCATTTGTTCTGTACTCAAAAGCCACAGATGCTCCCAGGAGAAAGCCAGCTGTGGACCATCAGCTCACCTCTTTGGGGTTATGTCCCCTGGGGACTCTTTTCACCACAATTACAGTTGTTTGAGCAGCTTTCTGGTGCTTTTAGATAGCAGACCAGTCAAGGTAGTCAGTATACTCCATCCTATTCAAAAGTAGGAGACTTTCGCTACATTTTAAAAAATTTTTTATTTGCCTCGGGCTTGGCTTACTGGGGTGTAAAATAATGCTGTCCATGTTGGCTTATGTTAGGCACTAATTTCAATACAGTCCAGCAGCAAACGGAGCACAAACATAATTAGCCAACATTTCCTGCCTGCATTCATTCATACAGCGTCCCCTCCTCAAGTGGCTGCGTGCTCTGCACAGCACTGTACAAAGCTCAGAGGCTCTTCTTATGAAATCGAATTTTCTCCCCGTAAGGAACACACAGTGTTTTAATAAACTACTGAATGAATATGAAACAGTAAAAAAGAAAACAGCTGCTACAGCATGCAATTAAGTGTATTAATAAAAAGCATAAGCATGGATTATTGTTATCCCAGAGAAAAACTGAAATTGGCATAGGAATGGTAACGTTTATTAGAGGCTAGGCCCTGTGCCCACATTACTCAGTTTTTCCTCTCAATAATCTTGGAAATTAAGTATTAGGTCATATATAGTCTTTCAAAGACAAGGAAGCTGACATACCGGAAGGTGAAGTGACATGTATAAGGTTACACAACCACTGTAGATGCTCTTAACCAGAACTTGAATTCAGGTGACATCCTTGATCTTAACCACTCCATTCTATGGTGATAAATGCCAACTATAGTCATATACACATAAGCCCAGAGATGTGGTCAAGCTTAAGCATGTATAAATATATTCCCTTACATGCTCAAAAATAAGTGAATATGGCAGACGAGGTTGCTGACCTTCTTGTATCAGCATGTTTCCCATTTTTTTTGTAAGGAGTGGGAACTTGGTTTAGGGCAAGAATTAAGAGTTTGGAATGAGGAATCAGAAAGGATGAGTGAATTGCCAGGAAGTATTGTAGTTTAGGTTTGATAAGTTGAAACTGAAATATACATTTAGTTGGAATTTATTAAATTGCCACCTTTTGCCAGGCACT